GTTTCCTTGTTCTTACCAAGTGTTTCTAAATGATTGTTTTGGTAAGTCACCTTGAATTCTTCACTTGTCCTTTTTCACTGTCACAAGCTTATGATTTTGATCATCTGACCTTCAGTAACATTGTTCAGGTAATTGGACTAAATAGAAAATATACACAGATGAGTGTCCAGAACCAAGTGGCTCTTAGCTCTAGGATGTGAGTAAAGGAGGTGTGAAGGTTCTCTCTGATAGAGGATCTGGGCTTGAGCTTCCTTCTCTTCTTTTGAGTCCAGCTGGGACTCCTGAGTGGGCTACAGACCCCCCCTTCATTTGGTTCTATAGGGATCTGCTGAAGCAAGTTATGTTTTGATCCTTCTAACTAAAGAACGATAGAATTGCCATTGAAAAGGATCATGTGTAGAAGGAGATGGAGGTAGAATTGGCCTGACTTCATGGGTATGCTTGTTGGCAGTATTTACTGTTGTGTTGGGATTAAGTACTATTTAATATGGGATGGTCTTGTTAAGTATATGAATTTCTGAGTCATTGGATTTGATGGCTTCATACATAGGTGAGGTTGTGTTATTTTCTTCTTGGTGAGAGAGCTTTGCCAAGAGCTAAGTAATTATAAAAAACAGCTAACGTTTATATGATGCCAACTGACATTCTACAAGCATTCTGCATAGCTTATTTTCTCTTCACCGTAGGTAGCCCTGCAGTTTAGGGACCACTGTTTGTCCTGTTTTTCAGATGAAATTGAGGAGCAATTTATCTCATTTGTCTTAGACCCTGTAGCGCCTGCAGCCAGACATAGTCTCTCCAAAGGTTTTGCTGTCAGTCTTTGCTGTCAACTTCCAGCTGGAAGTGGAGAAAAGGCTGTCAGTACGAGGAGTGCAAAGTTTGATGTGCTATACAGATTATCTTTGAGAGAAAATGGGAAAGTATGCAGTTTACCGGCTGCTGATGGTGAAGGAGTAATTAATGCTTACTTAAAAAATTAGAACTGACCTCAAGCTCTATAGGGATGGATGTCTGGCATTCACTTCCCTGTGGTTCTTTGGAAGTACTTGGCAGAGTTGTCTGATGGTAATAAGACAGCTTCTAGCTTCCTCATCAGACATAGTGGAGGCCTCTGACCTAGCTCTGTCCTCGCCTGTCCCTGAAGCTGTGAACGGTCATGCTGCTCCCCATTCTTACTGACTGTTGCTCACTCTGCTCTGCCTGCTCACTTTGAGCACTTCCTGTTCTTTTTGCTGTGGTTTTTCTGCACATCTTCAGGGATCATTTATTTTCCTCTAAATTCCTGACCTGCTTTCTAGTTTTGATTTAAAATCAGAAACTCAGATAGGAATTCCACCCAGGCCCGAACTTCCTAACTTTCTTGTTGTTTTGGACAGGTCAAAGGAGATCATTTAAAGGTGATCCCCACACTGCTCCATCTCCTTCACAGAGTTGTAATGAGGGTAGAATAGAATAACTCATGATAATCTCATGTAAAGTGAAAAGCAGACCGTGACTATGTGCATTATTAATATCCCAAACTTGCCTGTGTGGGGTTGTCTACTTGCTGTGGTGCCCAGCGTGGGCTTCAGCTTTGGTGCCCTGTCTGTTGTTGGTTATGTTCACCTGTTTGTGTTGGCTTTGACGCTTACTCTCTTTGAATTTCTAAGCACTTGACTTAAGAGTGCTAGTTGGCAGTGATAAGACACAATAAGTGAATGAATTACTCAAAAAAGCCTGTCTAAAGAAAGTTTGTGGTTATAGCCCCCCCCTGCAAACCCATTCTTTATATCTCTTCTTAAAATTGGTTTTGCTAAAATTATTTCTTTTAATCCTTTTTTTTTCAGGGTGCTAAATTCCAGTGCTTTCTGTAAGACCTATCTTTACTCTGTATTCTCTGGATCTTGGATTAGATGTTGTAAAAGATCTGGTAATCAGACGTCGGCCATTCACTTAACAAATGTGTAGTCCAGGTCATTTCCTGAGGCAGTAGGGGCAGCAGTGAACCATGCAGGTGGAATTCCTGCCTGCATGCAGTTTCTGTTCTTGTGAAGGTGTCAAATGATACAGATGTAGCAGGGTAAGTTGGAATTTTGGCTCATTTTAGTGCTGTCTTTGATGAGAACTCCCAGGACAGTGCGGAGTCCTGAGCTGGTGTAAATAAACTGAATGTGTAGTAACACTATGCTTGTAGTAGTGCTATGCTTGGCTTACTGTGTACTGGATGACCTTGAAGGTATCTACTTGTCCTGCCAAAGAGAGCTTTAAGCTCTTATCAATAAGAAAGACTCTGGGTGATTAAGGAAGAAGGTGACTGTTACCTGGCCTTTGGCTTCAGGAAAGTATTGTGGTTTATATGGAAGCCCTTCAGTTCTCGAGGCCTGTTTTTGTTCTGGTTGCTGGTATTCTGAATGTCTTGTAGGAACCAGGGGCCAAGGGATCCGGTGGGAGATTTGCTGATCAGCCAGTAACCTGTCTGGGCTGTCTTGATGCTTCTGTACCTCTACCTCCCTGCTAAGGGAATGCTTTGTTTCCCTGTGGCTTTCTGAACCTGAAGCTCTTTAACTGCAAGGAAGAAGGCAAGAGATTGGATGAAAAGTATAAAGTGACAGTTGGGACATTTGTGGATTTCTTTGAGATATTAATGAGCGATCCCATTTCTGAAGGATGAGGCCAAACTAGTTATAGGATGGATGATCTGGGAGTCACGCCAGTATCACTAGGGGAGCTAAGTGGAAAAAAGTTTGGAAACTTTGAGGAGTGTAAAGACATCCCAGAGGGTAGAGTGTAGGGCCTGAGGGGGACAGTCATGTGCAGTGGAGGTGCAGACAGACTGGCAGTGGGGTGGTGTGGTTTAGCTGACAGTGAGAGGTGACTGGGCCACCTGTTCTTAATGCTCTGGCAGAAAGGGCATTTAGTGCCAGGCTTGCCAGTGGTTTGAGCTGCAGTTAAAACATACACAGCCCTCCCTGGAAGTCTGCCTGGACCTCCACTGTATGACTTCCACCCTGTTCTTCCCCTGTTCTGGGCCGTGTCCTACTGCTTCATTCCTTGGGGCATGCTGGATTCCTGAGCGAATCAGGTCTTCTCTGTTAGATGCAGTCCCTGTCCTCACAGAACCTACAGTCTCACTCATACATCATTAAACCCCTGATATTTTCATAGATCAGTTGAATAAAAGAAACACCCTACAACAGTCAGTGCTAAAATAATGACTACCACTTGTATACCTACGAAACAGGAAATCCTGAGATCAACAGAACATAGATGTCATGTTGCAACAGGCAGATTGTGAACAAGGCTGTCAAGGATTCCTAGAAAGCCTATGTTGCTCCTAAGAATGACAGTAGTCATTTGTTGGTAAAGTGCTTGCTTAGTATGTGTGATCCTCTGGTTTCAATCCCTTGTACCACAGAAAGCCAGGCACGGGACTGGAGAAGTGGAGGCAGGAGGATTAGAAGTTCAAGGTCATCCTCCACTATGTAGGAAGTTGGAGGCCAGCTTGGGTTAAAGACCTTGTCTCTAAATAAACCAATAAGCAAACAAGTGAGTAAATCCATAGATAAGAGAGCAGAGGTGTTCCCTGGTGGCTGACACTACTTTTTCACCAAGGTCAGTTTGCCAGCTACTAGGAGTCTTCTGTTTGGTGGTGCGGTAAAAATAGCTCTGTAGACTAGGCTAGCCTCAAACTCAGAGATTCACTTGCCTCTGCCTCTCAAGTGCTGAATTAAAAGCAGGACTTAACCTTTTGAGTCACAGCTTCCTTATGGAATTGAAAACTCTTGTGAGTTTATAAACATTTTAGATGCATTATTCTGAAGAACTTGTAAAAAATTTAACATAAAAGGGCCTTCTATGGTAACCAGAGGAAGTCAGTTCTGTAGATCCCATGCTGTTAGCTCTATGGCTTGGGCACCGCAGAGAGTGTGCAGTGGAGTTACAGTATTAGTCAGGACTGCAAACCCAGGGAATATTATTCTGTGCAGATTGAGTGGCACTATCCGTTTCTTTTCTTGAATAATCTTTAGAATTTTGAGGCTGTTTCTAATTTCCCTTATATGTATCATTATACGGCATTAACTCCAGTAATCAGGATCTTAGAAAAATGAACAAAGGTTTGTTGAAAGTGGATAACCTCCCCAGCTGAGGTTTTTGCCTGGGTTGAGCAGGCTCCTGGGAAGAAGGAACCCGATGGGAATGGTAACTGTACCACCCACCTCTCTGGCATGTAGTCCCCATCACAGCAGGAATGCAGGATTCACAATATCAAGGGGGAGTGAGGGCGGGGCACCTTGACGAGGGAAGGAAGGGGACACGTGAGCCCAGTGCATGACTCCAGGGATCTATTGGGAAGACGTGCTTGGTCACAGTGCCTGGAGCACTGTGGTGGTGGAGAGGGAGAGAAGGTTGGTCTGTGTAAGACCTCCACCAGTGATCTCCATAAGTCCACAGACTGTTCCCTCTTTGAGGCCCTGCCAAAGCTGCTTCTTCTATGACTCTCCATGTCTTCTTCTCCCCAAAGAAACTCAACAAACCAACCCACTTTCTCCAGCCTTTCACCTGATCTATGAGTGTTGTCCCCCAGCAGTCCTGATGGTCTTTCATGGCCCTCACAGTTTCTTACACACTGGTGTGGTGAGTGGTGCCCCTTGTGCAGTTCTGACTTCTCTTAGGTGAATAAACAAACAAGAATACGGTTTTGTTTTTTTTTTTTCTCATAAGGGAGTAAGACTAGCTTTATTTTCTTTCATTTCTGATAGTGTTTGTGAATATTTTTTATTTTTTGTTTTTTTCTTTTTCTTTTTTTAATTAATTTTTTATTTTTTATTTTTTATTTTTTTTGAGTCAGGGTTTCTCTGTAACAGCCCTGACTGTCCTGGAAATAGAAATCACTTTGTAGAAAAGGACTGGCTGAGATACACCTTCTAACTAATGAATGCTGGGATTAAAGACCTGAACCACCACACCTTGCTATATTTGTGATTTCTAATAATGATGTAAATGCAAACTTCTCTTTTCAGATAATGTGGATGCAAGCGATCTTAAGCAGTTTTTTGAGACCAACTACTCTCAAATATATTTCATCTTCTATGAAAATTTTATAACACTGGAAAATAATTTGAAGTCAAAAGGTAAGCTTTTCTACAACTCTTTTTTGAGTATACAGGAGATTCCAGATATTACATTGTCTTGAGCCACAAGTTTTGCATTTTTAAACTTCCTTCCCGGGCTTTGAGACATCACTCTGGTGGACTGGTTGGCATCTTTGTTTCCCTTGAGTGTTTCCGTAAACAGGTGTTAATTGAACAGCAGATGGCTAAAGGGAAAATAGAAGGAACCCACAGAAGGCATGAATTCCAAAGGGATAAATTATTTAAAGAGCAGGGGAGAAAAATAATACAATAGACATTTAAAAAAATCCAAATTTAAGATTAATTGGTGGCACAAGCTATAATCCCAGAACTATGGAGGCAGAAGCAGGAAAATCATGAGTTCAAGACTCATACATAGTGGCCTACATAGTGAGACCTTGCTACAAAGAGTCAGACACAATAAAGCAACCTCAGCAGCAGAATCAAATTCCATTAAGAGGGATGTGAAATGAAGTCAGGTGTCTCCTTTACCCATAACTTCCATCCTTAGAGATTTTTTTGTATTACCAATGAGTTTTGTTTGTATATGTTTTCATATTTATGCCCATATGTAAAATAGTCTTTGGAAAGCAAACTGGCTATGGGAATTTGGGTGAAGGAACTGTGTAGCTGGGAAACCAGACTATCCTCATACTTCTTGCTGTTTCTCCTTGAGCATTATTTGACCTATGTGTGTTGGTTTCCTCCTGTCAGCAAGAAGCAGATTAACAGATACACTAGGATTTCAGCACAGAGCTTGGCAATCAGCATCTGGTTAGTAAGGACCATTATTGTCTTTGCCTTTCCATTTCATGTCATCTGTTTGGGAAATTAGGGAAAACAAATGGAAGTGTTTTTCCCAGTCTCTTACACCAACACAGCATACCATTCTGCTGCTAGAGTCCCCAACAAACATCAGCTGATGCCCATTAACGCCATTCAGTCTTGTCAGGCTGCAGGAGGTAGTTTCAGATCATCCTGCAGGCTAAGGGTTTGAGTGCCACAAAGCTGCCCCCTTTAATGACAGTTGCAGGTTCTAGGTTGCTGCCTGTGCAGTGACAGAATGCCAATAATTAGGAATCTAATGCTCTCTTCTCAGGGTGGGTTAATTTGCTAGAGGAGCTGAGAGAATGTAGGGAAACACCTTACCTGTTTATGTTTATTACAAAATTTTTGTTCATTTACTGAGTTGCACATGAATAATACAGATTTTAAGGGAGCCTATGAGCAGATGAAGCTGTGTGTGAAGTCTTGGAAGGTCCTGATTATGGATTGCCATGGAGTTGAAGAATACTCAGCATGTACATGATGCGTTCTTCACAATCTGGGAGCTCCCTTATCCAGAATCTCTTGGGTTTAATGGAGGTTTCATTATGTAGGCATGATTGGTCACTCTATTAGCCATAGGGATGAACTCAGCCTGAAGGTTGTAGGTGGGTGGAGCTGAAAGTAGAGTTTGAATGGAGAACAGCATTGCAGGTAGAGGACAGAGCCTGAGCAAAGGTAGTGTGCCTTTAGGGCATCTGTGGGGAATGTGTTTGTTTCTTTTTCTTGCAACTTAAGGTAATAGAAAGAGGTATGTAGGAAATCCTATCTTGAGCCTTGACTTCCAGGCTGAGGATTTGGGACTTTGCTTTTAGTTATTTCCCATAAAAACATTTACCTCTGAGACAAGTTAAGTGATGAGTGAATAGGCCCAGAGGTGAGTTGGGGGACTGACTGGTACTGTCACTCTCACGAGAGCTGCTAATACAGCAAGGTGGTGATTAAGGGAGGAGGAAGAGTTCTTGTGAGACTGGATACATAGGAGAGGGAGACGTCAAAGAACCTTTCAGGGTCCCAGTTTGACTTATGAGGTTTGATTGTAGCTTCAGAAACCTTCAAGGAGAACAATATTTGGCAGGCAAGAAGATGACTGCAGCTATGACCAGTCTGTATTTGAGGTACTTGTGAAACACAGAAATAAGTAATGGCTGGGCAGCAGAAATATAGGTTATCTTAGCTTGGGAGAAGGGGATAGAAGGCTGCTGTTGCCAAGGGAGAAAGTATGTCAAGGAACAGGGAGTCAGCCAATAAAGAGGAGAGAAATACATTAGTAGACGGGTGTTAGGAATTGTGTTGTCACAGAAGCCCAGGGGAGAGATTTCAAGGCATGCAAGATCAGAGAGCCTGATGATGCAGAAAGATGAGGTGCAGTGAGATTGGGAAGTGAGAGCTCATGACTGACCTGAGAACATTTCTTGGTGAGGAACTGTCAGGAGTTGACAGGTGGGCATGGAGCAGAGGGATATAGAGCTGAGGAAAGCACCCGTGGAGCTGCTGTGTGTTGAGTGTGCTTTAGCTGGTCATGGGGAGAGTTGCTACGGACTGTACCTAACTACATGTAGGCAGTACGGAGAGAGATAGCAGATAGAGTGGGGCTTGGAGAAGGAGGAGGGGTCAAGTAAACAGTAGAGAGACAGAGATGAGTGCAGAGTGGCTTTTTTTGTTTAACGAGAAAAGCTAGAGGATGCATGTAGACAGATTTTTTGGTTGGCTGGAAAGAAAAACTGAAGGGCTTCCTGAGGTACCCCAATTGCTGTGATCAAACAGAAGTGTGTGGAGGAGAAGGGCTATGGACTCAGGGTTCAGTGGGCTCTGGTATGCAACAGGGGACTCAGAGTCTTACCAAGAGTTTGGGACTCTAGCCTACATCAGATGACGCAGTAGCCTATGCCAGGGATGCCAGCGTGTGCTTTTCTTAAGGTGTTTCTCAGTTTCTATCTCCAATTTAAGCTGGTATAAATCTTGAACTTAAGAAAATTTATTTTGGCCCCAAGCGTAGATATGCTGAATGTGAAATGGTCTGTATTTACTTTGCTAGTTTTGCTCTGCTCTACTTTGGTTTACAGGTATGTGGAGGAGAAAAGGGTCATGTTTTTTGCAATCAAAATAGCTATTAGCTGAGTGTGGTAGCTCAAGTCTTAACCCCAGCATTCAGGTGGAAGCAGGAGGATGGATCTCTGTAAGTTCAAGGCCAGTCAGGTCTATGTAGTGAGTTTGAAATTTGCCAAAGCTACCTAGTGAGACCTTGTTGCAATACACCTGTGTGTGTGCACGTACACACACACACACACACACACACACACACCCCAAAATAAAAAACAAAATAGCAATGAAAAAATTAAAATATCAGATTTAAAAATAAGCCAACTGTCCAAAATTATTTTGTCATATCTCATTTTCCCTTCTTTCTTCCTCTATTTTCACCTTTTTTTTTACATCTATTCTTTTAGAAAATGGTAGTATTTCAAAACTGTATTATTTAGTTTGTGCAGTATGAAAAATCACTCCCAAATTTAATGCCTTTAAACAACCATCATTCCATGTGTGATTCTCTAGGTCTGCTGGGAAGTTTTTCTGGTTTAGCCTAGCTTCTGCTTCTTGGTCAGCTGTTTTGAATGACCTCACTCACATGTCTTACAGTTGACCAGAATGCTTTACTTCTCCATGTAGAGATTCATTATCCAGCAGGCAGTCTAGATGATTCCTTTACAGGGTGGCCTCAGAGTCTCAGGATCAGCCAAAATGTCTCACATCTGCTAGCGTCACATTGGTCAAAGGCTATTGTGAGGCAGTTCAAGGGAAGGAGACATCTGTTTATGGTAGGGAAAAGACTGTGCCCCATTTTGGAAACTCTCACAGAGATTCAATGTTAACCAATAGGAACAGTGGGAGATTTTTAGAAGCTCTTGCTTTTAGTACAATCTGCATTGGAGTGCAAAAAAGAAAGTGAACCCCTCCCCCCAAGAGAAGAAAAAAGTGTTTACTAGGAATAATGAAATCACTTTATGGTAGCTTCAGGTTTTCAGTTATTCAGTACAAAACTTTGGAGATGCTGTCTGTCTTCAGAATGTATCATTGACCTGTCACCTTGCCCACACTGATTATCTAGACTGGCACTAGCTTTAGGAAGGGTCTCCTCACTTCTATTCTTGTGCTTTCTTCTACCCCATTTCTTTTCAGAATGGTAACTGAAGCCACAACTCACATAATCACTGTGAAAAGTCCTCAATGGCTTTTCATTCTCAAATCACTGTAGTGACTTTATCTGATCTGCCTTCCTTTGCTGCACCTACTCTCTAAACCCATCTGCTCAAATCTTCCCCATCTTTGCTCTAGCCTCCAGGTCCTTCTGGCTGTTTTCTGACATGTTTAGCTGCAGGAACTTTGTCTGGCCCACTCTCCCTGCCTGGGGTGTGACTCCCTCGTATTTCTTTAGAGATTGCTTCTTTGCCCATTGTACATCTTTGCCTAGTTGTCGCTTTTCCAGCAAAGCATTTCCCAACTTCCCAGGGCAGAATTGCATATTGGTTTTAGTATTCCTCATTTGCTTTTGATCACGGGTTTCCTAACTTATTTATAGTTTGCCTTCTACTGTCAAAATGTAATCTTCCCCAGAGTAGGGAGTGTTGTTTGTTTGGTTTATTCCTTTGTCCCCTGGGCCCAGCAGAATTCCCGAGAAACAGACAGTTTTTAGTATTTGTAAATGAGAATTCAGTTAGGTCAGGAGCCTGCAACTGATAGCTTACTTGACTTTTGTTTTGTCCTTGTTGTTGAGACAGGGTTTTGCTGTGAAGCCTAGGCTGGCCTTGAGCTCCTGTGATTCTTGACCTCCCACACTAACAGTATTACAGTCGTGAACCACCATGCCCCACCAGATTCGTTGAATACAGTCATCTCCCTTCATTTATGTACAGCCTGTGGCAACAGAGTCTGATAGTTGAAAGAGAGATCTGAAAAGCCTAAAATATTTACTTAAGTTAGATGACTTAAGCTACATGCTTAGCACAATGTCTGGGACATACTATAGACAATAAATGATAATTTCTGCTGGAGGCAGGTAGTGCAGTTTTGATATTATTAATTAATATTATCAAAAGGGCATTGTGGGGCTGTGAATGTAGTTCAGTTGATAGAGTGCTTTCCTACCTGAGTTTGATTCCAGCACCATATAAAACTAAGTATGGTAGCATACCTTTTGTAATCTAATCCTAGTACTTGGGAGGTAGAGGCAGTTGAATCAAAATTTCAAGGTCATCCTTAGCTACAGATCAGGTTGGAGGCCAACCTGAGCAACAATGAGACCCTGTCTCAAAACAAAAAAAAAATGAAGTGTGTGAAATTGTGTAATGAAGGAGACAGATTCTTGTCTATAGATGTCATGCTCTGTGCTTGTTAATATTATCATGGTTTGCCCTGTGCGTTTTTACCATAATTTGAGCTGGTGAGTATCTAGTTAAGAAACAAAGTTTAGAAAACATGGACGTTATAAGAGAGTAAGAGGTAGCTGTGGGTGATATGGACCTGATGTACCAACTCAGGGCCCTCTTTCAAGCAGTGCTCCCCCGGAGTGTTGGTAGTTAGTTCCTAATGCATGTCTGCAGCATGTGAGATGCCTTTCAGCATCATGTATGAGATTCTAAAGCTTAAGTACTAACATGTTGACTTATTTTTTTTTCTTAATTTCCAGGGAATAATAAGTCACAAAGGGAGGAGCTGGACTCCATCCTCTTTCTTTTTGAGGTAAGTTTTGGTACTATTATTATTATTGCTACTTATTATTGTTATTATTTTAGCTTTTAAAATCTTTGTTAAAAATACAATACTTTATTTGATCCTTCATTTTACCTGAAGACAAATAAAAATGGCTGTGCATGGCTGTACCTTGCCCTCTCCCTACTTTTACAACAGATACTGCTAAAAGTGTTCATATGACTTTTCTTTTTAAAAAATGTACTAAAGTGTCCCTTGTGTGACCAACTAGATGTTAAGGTACTAGTTGGACGAGTAAATACATTCTAAATAGTAATAGCTTTTGCTGCTTTCTTTTCCATATGAACTTTCATGTGAGTTTTACATAAATGTTCTATGTCCCCAAACTGCAGGTGATATACAGAAACTCAGTTCTCCACATATATATGTAATATTTTAAAACTTATTTTTATGTGTGTGGATGGGGGTGTGTTGCCTACATTTGTGTCTGTGCACCAGATGTTCAGTGCCCTTGGAGGCTAGAAGAGGTGTCAGATTGCTGAGGATGGGGTTTCAGATGGTTGTCACCTGCCTGGTGTGTGCTGGGATTATACCTGGGTTCTCTTGCAGAGCAACCACTGACAGGGTTTTTGCATACCTGTGTCTCTGTGTGCACAGGTAGTCTTTAAAGCTGGAATGATGTTTGCCTGTGTGTTTTTTAATTAAATTAGATTTTATTTAGGTATATGTGCATAATTGTGCTGCAGGCATACCCCACAGCAAGCATGTGAATGTCTGCTACAGTAAATTCTCTCCTTTCACCATGTGGGCCCCAGGGATTGAACTCAGGCTGTCAGGCTTGGTAGACGGGACCTTTACCTGGTGAACCATTTTGCCAACCTCTTGTCAGTGTCTTTGCTTTTGAATGTTTTTGAGACAGGGTCTCTTCATGTATCCTTAGCTGTCTTAGAACTCTGTGTAGACCAGGCTGGTCTTGAACTTGAAGAGATGTGCCACCACATCCAGGGTTTGGCAATTTTTTTGTGTGTTAAATATAAAATTCTTCTTGCTCAAATGTACTAGGCAGGTGCTAGTTTATGAACATCAGAAGAACTAGACTCAGAAATGAATTACAAGTTCTTTCTTTTTAATTCTTTTTTTTTTTTTTAAGACAGAGTGTCTCTACATAGCCCGGGCTGTCCTAGAACTCTTTGTGTAGACCAGGCTGGTCTTGAACTCACAGAGATCCACCTGCCTCTGCTTCCTAAATGCTAAAATTAAAGGTGTGTGCCACTATGCCTAGCTTATAAATGAATAAATTGTAAATTAAGAAAAAAACATTTACTTACTTATTTGGTGTGTTTGCACATTTCACAGTGCATGTGTGGAGGTCAGAGGGTAACTTTTGGGAGTGGGAGTTCTATCTTTTTACCAAGTGGGTTCTGGGAGCAAACTCCAGCACTTTTCTAGACCGAACTACATAGTGGATCCCTGGATTATAAATTCTCAATGTTAGTTATTCATAGTTTGAAGCAGTATGTGCATAGTTTGATATAAAAAGATAAACTGCAGCTGGGCCGCTCGCCTTTAATCCCAGGACTCAGGAGGCAGAGGCAGGTGATCTCTGCATTTGAGGCCAACCTGGTCTACGGAGTAAGTTTTAGCATAGCCAGGGCCACATAGAGAAACCCTGCCTCAAAAACATACAAACAAACAAAAAAATTAAAAGTATATGTGGGTAGATGTGTATATATGTATACACACCTGTAAAGGCCAGAAATCAACCCTGGGTGTTGTTCTTCAGGAATCACTGTGGGTTTTTTGTTTGTTTTTGAGCCAGGGTTTCTTACTGGAACCTAGAGTTCCTTATCCAGCTATGCTGGCTGATCAGAAAGCTCTAGGAATCCTGTTTCTGCCTTCTTGGGACTGCAATTACAAGCAGGCACCACCATGTTTGCTTGTGTGGAAAGGACTTTACTAATTAAGCTACCTCTCCAGCCCAAAGAAGAAAAATGTATGACTGTAAGTCAGTCCAAATGTGCAGACCTGGCTGGAGGAGAGGCTGGGAAAGGGAAACTGTGGGTGAATTGAGTGGAGTAAAGTGTGGCATGGGACATTTCCAGCCCAGGATTTGGTTGTGGCAGATCACATTAACTTGTTTCCATTTTTAGTTTTGTCAAATTATTTGAAAAATATAGATGTGTTTTTAAGTTTTCAATTTTTTTTCTCTGCATTAATAGATGACGACTCTTGTGTCTTCCAGTTTTAAATCTTTCAGGGACTGATACTTTGCTCGCATTTAAGAATTTGTATTTTTTGTATTTTTAGGTAATTTAATTTTTACATATTTAAACTTTTCATATATTTTGATCATATTCCTTCCCTTCTGTAACTCTTTCCAGATCCTCCCCTTTCCCTACCTAACAAACTTCATGTTCTTTCTTTTCCTTAAAAAAAGGGGGGGCACTCCCCCACCCCAAGCAGCGACAGTAACAGAATCCCAACAACCATGCGGTCTGTTTTGTGTTGGATAGCTACTTCTGAGTATGAGGCCTGCCCTGGAATGTGGTTGATTGAAGAAAGTTCATTTTTCCTCTTCTTATAGATATCAGTTGCAGATAGCTTATTGGTTAGAGGTATATTTTATATCTCTTAATTCTAATATCCAAAATACTTAGTAGTTAAAATCTGTTGGTTATCTTTCCCAACACAGTGGCTTCTTCTTCATCATCATCTTTTTCTTTTTTTTGCTTCTGTTATGAACTCAATATGAATAACACAGATTTAATTTCTGTTAAGCCTTTCTTTTTCTAGATGTATTTGTTTCAACTTTTGACAGGAATTTGGGAGTAGTTTCAATTAGAATTCTTTTATAGTCCTTTGAGGGTTACTAATGGGCTCTCAGGTTGAGTATCCAGAACTTCTGAGGGTAAGGCTCAGGGACTAGAAGGACCAGACATCTGTCCAGTATAGTGTTGGCATGAGAATAAGCTCTTTGGCTTCTGCATTCTTCTTTGCTTGTAGATCACAGAACTTTCTTCTACCCCTTTTCCTTTTCCTTTTTTGCTTCTGTCTCTTCTACTATTTTTTGTTTGCTTATTAGTTTCCCTGAGTCCTCAAAACCATGCAAAAACACTGCTTTGAGAGTTCTATTTGTTGTTGTTCCTCTTGACACTAGTTGTTCCAAAGGTAGGAAGCCTTCAGAATTCTGAGTCCTAATCCTCCCACAAAGGAAGTTTGATGCCTTCTTTCCTGTCTAGAAACGCCTTACTAGGGAGCAGGCTATTAGTGATACATTACTATTTACAGAGAATTAGTTCCTTATATAGAAGAACAAATATATATTATTCAAAGCTTCATAAAACTTTCACTTTGCATAGTAAATATTGGTGAATGATACACTTGTATTCCTTTTGTTTATGCTGTGTGCTCTGCTCTAGCTTTATAAGTAATTTGTATGTCTCATTCTGGGCACTAAGCAACTTCATTGCTACTTTCTACGTTAGAAGTGGTTTCTGAGGGCTCTGAGATGAATACTCACCAACATGTAAATAATTGAGAAATGCTTCTTTTAGAAGAGGTAGAGTTATTGATATGTTAAATTACAGAAGTGATCCTGTGCAGGACTATTCTATAAATAAGAAAAGGGTTGGAAGAGAGCCTAGAAGGAATAGAGTTATGGAGGAGGACTGTGAGAGAGCTACACCTGGCCTTGGGAAGGGCCAAGCGCGGGGGCAGCTTCGGCAATGGAAGCGGTAGTTTTACAGTGTTGTCATCTGTTGGACAGTACAGTTTCCGGTGAAGTTAGTGATGAACAACTAAGGCTGATAGCTCAGGTCATAAATTCCAGGCTGTGGATGATTGTACAGAGATGAAATCTGTTTGTCTTTACCTTCAGTGGGAGTACATGTCCCTCTGGAAGATGACCTGGCTAAGTGACACTTGCAACATCACTTAGGGTTTCTATTCCTGCTGATTTATGGAGATGATTGTCATCCTTTTTTAAAATATTTGTTTTATTGTTGGCGGAGACTACTTATTCATTCCTGGCTGCCCAGACCCAAGATAATCACATACAAACTGTATTAATTACAACACTTTTTGGCTAAGAGATAGCTTAAGTGTATTGCTAGGTAGCTCTTATTTCTTAAAATAACCCATTTCTGTTATTTTATGTTTTACCATGAGACTTGTGGTTTACCAGTAAGGTTCTGGCTGGTAGCTCACGTCTTTCTCCTTTGACAGCTACATGGCGTCTCTCCCTGACTCTGCCTTTTTTTCTCCCAGCATTCAGCTTAGTTTTCCTGCCTAACTCTATTCTGTCCTGCTATAGGACCAAAGCAGCTTTATTCATTAACAAAACACATTCAGAGCATACAGAGGGGAATTCCTCATCATTTTATTGTTACTGTGGCTATGACTAAATTTTCATTCTTTTTTGTTTGTGATATCTGTTTGTCTGTCATGGTTGGTCATTTCTAATGGAGATGTAGTACCTTAAAACACGAATTTAATTGCCATCTTACATTGATTGGAACCTGTTTCACAAGGGACATTCTGTTTAATCCTTTCCTTCTGAAATAGATTATGTCTTTCTAGGTTGATTTTTTGTGTGTGTGTGTGTGTTGCTGTTGGTGGTCACATGTAGGGCTTTGACCTTTGAGTTACATTTCCAATTTTTAAAGATTTTATTTTTAATTATGTGTATATATGTGTGTGCATGTCTGTGTGGGTTTGTGCATGTGAGTGTAGTACCTGCAGATGCTGGGAGAACCCATCAGATCTGGAATTTTTACCAGAGGAACTGAACTCAGGTCTTCTGCAAGAGCAGTATGTATTCTTAACTGCTGAGCCATCTCTCCACCTATTTGAAACATCCTAGCATTGGAAAACATGGATGCTGTCTGTCTTCAAGCTGCATTCTGCAGAATATTTCTGTCAACTCATGCCCATTTTTTAAAAGATTTATTTATTTGTTTGTTTGTTTATTATACAATGTTCTGCCAGCACCAGATTTCATTACAGATGGTTGTGAGTCACCATTTGGTTGC